AAAAACATTTGACTTGGTAAAACTAAAAAGAAAAATATATATAGGGGCGCAGAAGGGTAATTTTTTCATAATATAATCACAATTGTTATTCATAGTTTTCGAACCAATACATACAACTTGAGCTTTATGGAGAGCCCATCTGGGATCAAGGTTGGTTAGTTGAGAAAAAATGAATTTGTTTCACTATGTGTAGCCATTAATGATCAGTTTTAGCTGGTAAGCTGAATTGCTTTTTATGTGGGAATTAAAAGTATTTGATTCGTAGTCTTTCTCTACTGATTCTGGTTTTATTATTAGTTGTGATTGTGCTAATGCAAGGCATCCATGCCGAAAATGGTGAAGTTATTTTACAGGTGAAATTTTAGTTTAAACGTCAGTCTGTGTGTGGATGTTGCTTTATTTAGTTAAACCTCATCACTTGTCTACTGCATATGCTCAAGAGTTATTCGTGTTACTCTCTTTCCGAGTCTGTCTTGTTGTTAATTAAACTTTTCGTTGTGGAGTGATGCATGTTCCATGTTATTTAACTGATGACTGATGTTTATAAGTTCAAAGAAAGGAGTTCAGTTGTTTTAGTCCTTCGTCGCTAAAGAAATAGGCGTTTGGAATTGTTTCTATGAACATAAAGTGAGCCAACCTGTTTACCGCAGAAACTCATAGTATGATGTATGTCAAGAATTGCTTGGCACAAATGATGGACAAAATATTGGGCTCTTTGGCGATTACTGGAGGATTATGTAAAATTGTAGTGATGTAATCCGAGTTTTTAGGATATACACTTTCAAAGATTTGTTATTGGTTATATTAACAAGTGTTTCAGAGTATTTATTTTTTAGAAGGTCAGGTCCAAGCCTGTTAGTAAGCGATAGCTCGAAGACGAGCAGTGAAATCAAACTTCCTCAGGTGAAAGAATGTCTGGTGTGAGAGGGGGCAGTTTTGATTGGGTTCATGAATACTATTTGAGACATAAGATCGCAAAACAAAAGTAACTCTTTTCCAGGTGTAATATGAACCTGGACCTGACATGCCCTTTGTTCGCTAATTATTTTCACTACGCAAGTGTACGAAGTAACTATAACAAACGACGAGCAAAATCGTATTCCACAAAATTTGTAGTTAAATTAAGTAGGTACTAAAATAATAATGATTACATTCTATCTAGGCTGATGCAAATTGAGAGATTAATTATGAACTAAGGAATTAATTTAAGAACTAACTTATCTAAGAAAAATAGAAATAAAGTATGATATAAAAGATATATACCAGGTTATGTTTTTTTCTGTATTCACTAAATTTTTAAATTTATTCAAAAACTTATTTAGTTTTACCAACCGTAGGGATAATCGTTAAACTAATTTCAATTTTTACCAATCGTAGCGCTAAATTAATTTAACTTTTCTCTCGAACAAGTTAAATAGTATGTTAATTGTTATCTATCTCCTATCGGTCTCAAGATGAACAACTAACTTCATAAGTTACTAGGATTTTAGTAATCTCGTATCGACCTCTCGACCTATTTATTCTCTTACGTTATAAACTCCTCAATTATAATTGTCAATTATTTTCTTTCGGTCTATATTCAATCACAAATATGTATTCATAGTGGTCTCTACTTATACAATAAAAATAAGCACAAAAAATTCAAAATCGAAAGATAAAACCGGATGAATCAAATAAAAACTAGATCGTAAATCAATCATAGTACTAATAAATTCTATAATCTAAACTAAAATTAGACTAAGAACATGCTTCTAAAATAAGGAAAATAAATATATTACATTGAGCTCGAAAGAGAAAAGAAAAAGAAAGAAAAAGCTTATTGGGTTTCGTCGATCTCTTCTTTCCGGCTTTCTCGCTCGTCTTGTGTGGTATTCCTAGCCTCCAAAAGTCTCTAAATATCTGAAAACATCTCTAACAAACGTGCCCTAGTGTTTATTAAATAGTTTGGTCAAGTCCTAATCGAAATAAGTTAAAAAATCTGTCAAACATAGGAAAAATGCGTAGTTGTCGTGCCCAAACCCACACGCGTGGAAAGTCACAAGTGTCACACGAGTTGTGTAAAAAATCGAGAGGTTGGATCCAACCCTCGGGTTGACACAACTCGGATCGGACGTCACAAGTCACATGTCTCTTTGATATCGAAAACCTCATTTTCGGCATGTCTATTCTCCGTTTTCCCAGGCATCTCACGGTAGTCGAAAATGGTGTCCAGATGGTTGTGCCGGGGGCTGCAACTCCTTGTGCGCCAAAAAAAATTCCCAGTGGCAAAATGTTTGTGCTCTGACGTTCGACGTTTAGGACGACAACTTCATGGCGACTTCGGTCGGAGGCTATTGAGAAATTAATGAATAAAATGACAGACTTTATGGGTGTCCTTTTTCTCTCGTACTCTCTTTTATCTCTCAATCTGTCCTTCATAGGTATGTTTGTATGAAATGATTTACATTACAACAAGTATAAACATAACATTAAATTGAATTTTTATTATCGAAGACAAGATAAAAAAATGAGCCACATTGAGTGTCCTGAAATTTCGCGTAAAGACAACAACATATGAAAATTACAAAAATCTTTCCCTTTAACAATGTTTACTGTCACAGGTTCAGCTTCCAGGCCAAGATTTTCACTCGATTCCCGCTTCGTGCAGCCTGATTTCCTCGGCCAGGCAGCCTTAATCGCGACCCGCCAAACCTTCGCTCGCCCATACAAGTATAATTTGGCGACGGTGCAAGCCATCACACACGCACACTCAGAAGCATTAAGTAAATAACAAGTGACACCAACACATTTACGGGCCCGCTCCCAACCAACGATTATAATTACTCAATTGCACAATGGAAATGCCATGGCTCGCACACACACACACACACACATACACACACCTCACTCAAGCTATCTCGTGCACGCAGACACACTCTAGTACATCTTGGCCTTACTCACGTATCAAGGGACTCCACCCTAGGCCTTACACTCCTATGTAACGTTCACCAAATTTAGTACCGACCTTATAGACATTGACCATATACACGCTACAAACACTTCACGTATGCCAAAACATGCCTCACTAGAATACAAATACTCACTGCCTCACTCGCTCGGTCTCTTGTTACCCTTATGTTTGGTGCTCTCGCTCACTCTTTCAAGTTCGCTAACTGAACTGAGTTTCCTCCTCGGAGCTCTAGCTTCTGGAGCTCTTGGCTCACGGTACTCTCAGCAGTCCCATGTATCACTCGACTTTGGTTCGCCGATTTTAGCTTCTCGGCCTCACACGCGAATGCTTGCCTTGTCTATTTAACGACAATACTACCCTTGACCCTAGTTCTTGGGTAACCTTCTGGCAACCGCTTGACAGTTTTTCACTAACTGCCCACAATGACGTGCCCAAGTCTCCTCAACACCAACTCAGCCCTAGCAGCCTGCGGGTGCCAACCGCCCATTCATGTCTTGTTTGAACTCCTACGCATGTCAATAATCATCTCTCCATGTGTCCATAGAAATTGTCTAGCGACGTGCCTTAATCTTCTTTGATCCTACTCGATTGTGCTATCTTGAAGGGATAAGACTGCCTACGCCACCTTAGACCAAGTAACCGTCTTATCTACATTCTGCCCACATGCGCTATTAAAATCCTAGCCGTTCCTTCCAAGGACTTAGACGCCACGCGTTACACTCGCACGTGCCCATCAAAAGGAATCCTCTGAAGCCCTCTAGGCCCTGAACAAGCCTAAGTCTGATCATGTCTCGTTTGGTTAGCCAACTCTCTCATCTAAGCCCATCAGTGTGCATAAGCGTCGTCCTGTCGGTGCCTCACTTGAAAAACGTGCAAGGCATTGCACTGCCTTGCACTATAGCATCTTCGAGTTAAGCCCACGTGCCAGCAAGGCCATGCACAGCCCTCGAAAATTTTCATCCGACCGAGCCAACTTTTACCCGACCCCATAATCAAGTACTTTTAAACGAGAAACCTTCGATCGAAATCGAATTGATGTACGTCAAGACCCCCATACTAGATATCGACCCATCCACACACGTATCCCATATGATCTAGCCCAACACCCTTATGAGACCACTACATTCCCCAAGAATAGGAATAAAGAGTGTCGGCTCTAGCTGCTTGGACATTGATAGCTGAGTATCGCACACGGATTCTTTGTCGCCCCACGA